AGACTCGATTTTCTTGATCAACAGCGTTCAAATTTGGTAATTTTCCATAATGTTTTCGGAAATTTCAGGGGTATGCAAAGCACGAACTTGAGCTACAGAACCGTAACATATTTGAGGGGCAGGAAGAACAGAGTAGAAATCAGTAGAAAATTACTTTCAAATTCCAGATTTCGTGTTGTCCAAGAGAGTTGAATAGCTGGAACCCTGTAAAACTGGTTAGAGAAGTAAAGCCTTATCTCCACTTATTGTACATCATTCAGCGGCCTAAGCTTAACCTAGTCCAAGTTGAACCTCTGCACTAACCATAATTTAAACCATCGGACTAAACGTGAGACTTGTTGTCGATTCATAAATTTAGTTTAATATAAGCCAGGCTGATTTAAGCAAAACTAAGCTGGTTTAAATCGAGAGGAACAGAGGAACACATGGGTAATATTTTGGTATTTCACTTGGACAGCTTATCCACAAATTGAAGTAAACGTGAATTATCTGGAAAATTTAAATTTCAAGAAAGCTTGGCCGAATGAGGTGTCAATATGCTTGCTAAGTGGACCTTTGTACAGTGCTGGCGTCTCCAGAGTATTTGGACTTCAAGTAAAAAATTAGTTTTCAAGTGCGAATTTGATTGCTAATTGATCATGTGACGCCTCGCCATTGGGAGAGTAATAATAATAATAACAATTTATTACATAGGCTAGCTATGCACAGTCAAATTTAAAACATAATCGAACTTCGCACTTTAAGACAGCAAAACAAAAAAAAATGAAGGAAAACAATAGGCAAAAAAGCGAAAAACATGAGCAGTAGAAATGGCACAAATTCAGGAAGACAGAAGAGGCACCAAGGGATGAGAATGAAGTATCTTTTTGAATCTAGAAATCAGTAAGCGAATCGAAAATTTCCTGCACACAACGTAAAATTGGGAGTAGTTCTATTAGCGAAAAAGAACCTTCTACAGTTCAATCTAGCTCTTTTAATCAGAAATTTAACCGCCCCTCCACATGTGATAGAGGACTTCAACTGGAAGAGTTCTAGACCACAATTGCCAATAAAATTTTATGAAGAAAAAGAAGATCATTGGTATTTCTACGATAGCATGATTTTTCAAGATTAAAATTGTAACTACGTTCATCTTTAGGAGGAATTTGGTCATATTTAAAGCTAAATGTTCGAATCATCAGCTTACGAGTGAATAAGTTTTGCACTTTCTGAAGCTTCTCTATATTTTTCCGTGAGGGCTGAACACTTGTGTACCGTACTCCAAAATCGGTCGAACATATATTTTATATGTTTTGAGAAGCACTGCAGAGTTTCTTGTAAGAAGAGCTCTGAAGATGTTGTGGACCACTCGTGTTGCCTTTCTAGCAATCATTCCACAGTGTTTGTCAAAAATGAGATTCCTTGTAATTATAGATCCCAAATCTTTGACAACATTCACAGCAGTAATGGGTAAATAATTGATAATGTAATTGTAGCTGGGACTGTGAAGACCAAGATGAAACAGCTTGGTTTTTCTTTTCTTTTGATATCGGTAACTCTCACTCCTGGGACCACTGCTGCACTACCGAAATAGCACGCTGCAAGAGAGAAGAATCGAAAGCTGTGGCAAATGAACGGTATATTTTCAAATCATCAGCAAACACGCTAAACGAAACATCTTGCCCGGCTAGCAGAAATGGAAGATCACAAGTGTAAATGTTAGACAAGATGGGCGGTAACATCCCACCTTGCGGAACACCACTGGGGACAGGTCTAGGGTTAGGGTAGGATCTGCTAACACGTGCCATGAAGCTTCTTCCACTCAAGAAAGCACTTAACCAACAAAAAATCGTGTGATGAATTCCAATAAGTGAAAGCTTATAAAGAAGTTTAGAATGTGACACTTTATCAAAAGGCTTTTGCATAATCAAAGCAGACGACATCAACATTTTTGCCGTCATCAATCGAAGACGTCCAGTTACCTAAAGTTTGAATCATAGACGTCACTGTGGACTTCCCTTTGAAAAAATTTTGGAACGCTTCACGAATTTGCGTGGCATACCTACGCCGGGGCCATGCTGATCTTCCCTGTATTGTTCCAATTTTAGTACATATTCAGGAATGAACAGAAGTAGGAAAGAAAAGTGAGGTAACTTATCTTTCAGTACATCGGACAGGTCAGGGGCAAACCAATACAACCCTCACGTGGAGAATGCATAATTGTTCGGTTATGTAAAAAACACATCCCGAAAACCTCCTTCTAAAAGGAGTTACAAAAAATCCCGCAAATTGCAGAATTCCGCGAATTCTCGGAAATTTCTGAGGTTCCGCGGCGGCTATTGTACAGCGTATCCACATAGCAAGGCTGCTTTTTTTTTTTTTTCGGAACACGTGTTTAGTCAAGGTGGCCAATCGAGATGAGTTGCATCGAACCTAACGCAGCATTAAATGCTGATTTCGAATCTGGCCTGCAAATCTGCGAAATGCTTTTCCGAGAGTAATTAGGAACGATTACAAATTTCCTCGAAAGCACGTTTTTCATGAGAAGACCATGTGTTGTCCACATTACGTCACATGTACGAACCGCTGAGCTTGCAAGCGCTGAATTCCTAAATCTTCTAGCATTCTGCAGGTCGCGCTTTTCTAGGAAGAACTGCGCTTTTCAAAAGACATACATTCATTCGCACTTCTTCTAAGAGAGGCGTTTAGCAGATTTAGAAAGCATTTTGAAAATCAGCATTCGAAGATCATCAAGCTGTACGCCCTTACCTCGATCGGCCACCTTGACCAAGTATGTGTTCCTCGTTAGATACAAGAATACTATTCTAGTATGTCAAGCACACGCACTCTTGAAAGAAAGTAATTCGCCTAATATTTAGCAAAATAATTCTGTTTGGAAGGCTGCTATAATTCAAAAATTTTCGCGAAATGAAGTGTTCTGCAATATAAAGGCAGGAAAAGCTGCTGTCTAGGACCAAACAATGGAGAAATTTCTAACGAAAAATTGCCTTTCAAAAACGAAGGTTAGTCATTTTATGCATCACTTTAATACTTCTCAGTAACAAATTTGACCTCGGAACTTTCAGACTTTGGCAGGAAACGACATGTTACCTTTTTTAAATTAAACTGCGCATACTGCATTCTAAAGTTGCCCTAGTTGCCCTATTCGGACTAAGGCTAGCCCTTGAATTACGCCCTCTTCTCTTCTTTCCGATCTCGGTTCCAAAATTGTAAGAAAAAAAAGTCCTCCAAAAAAGTCCTCCACAAAGTTATTTGGGAGCGACCCTTTGCGATGTTTTCCTCCGTGCAAGTGCTTCCTTTGCGAAAATACGAGCTGTTGTAGGCTAGAAAAAAAGGAGCTCTTCAGCTCAGCCTGTAGGTCTGTTAAAGGCAGCATCCACGGAAAAAAACCCCCATGCAGCTTTTGCCAATTTAGGGAAAGGCTGTGGTCCAGCAAGCCATAGCTAAAGTAGAAATGCATGAAACATGTTCCTCGCTGAGAAAATGGCCCTTGTCGGAGTGGGCAAAATGGGCAAACGGAGCTAGCAAGGGCGAGAACGGCACCTGCACATACAAGTTACGAACAAGTTAGCTCCAGCCAAAAGGCATGGATTGTTGTTAGCTGCTGCTTGCTTCTCTGCTACAACGTTAACCAACAGGAAAATCTCGCCTCAGCCTTGACGTCACGTGACCGTCGGTACCGAAGGAAGCAACCGAATGGTAACTCGTCCGCGAATCGTGAGCGAGTTTTCTCGAGCGAATTTCTCGGCCA